TCTGGATAGCACTGGTGTCAAAGGGAATGTATAAAGCCAACTATGGTGCTACTAGGGCATCATTCCCCTCTGCTCTGTGGTCTTGAAAAAAATCACCTCGGTGGTTTTCTGCTATTGCAGATAGGTTGATCAAAGGGAACCCATCTTTTTGCAATCTTGTGAACAATCTGTAGCTATAACCATTCATCCTGAGACAAGTGCTAATCATTTTGCTATTAACTATGATATTCAGTGATCCTTTTATCTACTCTGTTGATATGAATAAGCATTTATTCACATGTCACCAGTTCTTTGGCTTTTTGTAAAGATCCCTTGATCTGGTTCTCTCCAGATTGTTTATACAAACTCTGTTCGTTATATTATGTATTCGCACCAATAGGTGCCACCCACTAACCTGATGTAAAAGGGCTTTCAGAGCCAGTCATATTACCCTTAACTCCAGCTGTCAAAAAGCAGTGTCAGTTTATGATGGGACTACAATTCCTGGACCATGTTTGACAGGCTGACTGGTATTCCTTGCACCAGATTGGCTGGGGTTAGCCACTAATACAACAATTGATCTTTAGTTGGCATCTTATGAAGTAGGAGCCACCAGAGTGGTTTGAGATAGAAACAAGCCCATAGTACTGAATCCAGAGCTGCAACAATCATCTATTATATCTTGCCAGTATCATGAGGGTTGGGTTCCTGGATGTTAAGGTCTTCCTCACAAGGTGTACACGAGAGAGGAATACTTTCCCTTCCCCTATGTTGATGGTAATTCCCTGATGAGGAATATATTCTAAGGGTATGAGTGTGCTCTTGGTGAATTTAATAATGAAACTCCATTCCTGGAGGCATCAGAATGAGGCTGTTCACTGATCTCTCCATGTAAGGAGGTCTGATGAGATTGCCCAGATGAATAAATGTAAACAACCTGAATCCTGAGGTGTTGCACAAAGAACTTTGATAAATACTCTGAGTCTGAAAGCAAGTCCAAAAGCGAAGATTTTAAATTAGAACTGGTGCCTCATGCATGTAAATTTGAAGAACTTCCAATAGGAAGACCTGATTAGGATGTGTGAGTAGGCCTCTGATGGGTCCATTGAAGCTAGAAAATTATATGTTGACTTCAGCCAATGTCTCAATTCCAAAAGATTGGGGCGTGTTCAGCAATCTAAGATTCCAGATGGCTTTCTATGTCTTCTTTTTCTTTGGCTCTGTAAACAGAATGAAAAACGTGCTGGAAAAATTCTCATGTACAGGGACATGCTCTATGAAACTAATGTCCAGTAAGGGAGTTATTAGTTTCTTCATTCTGAGCTGCTTCTTTTTGTTTTTGGAGATGGAGGATGGCAGGAACCTGTCTTTTTATTTTCTTGTGAATTCTAGCATATATTCCAACTGAATAGTCTGTAAAACCCATCTGTCCTTGTATGTGGTTTCCAGATATGCCAACATTTTTTCAGTCTCCCCTCCCCCAGTAAGGTAGTGTTATCAATTTGAGGGGCATTTTCCTTGGTTCTTGCCTTTCTGCCTTGCCCATTAGTTATGTATCTGTGTTGGCAGGCCTGAGAACTCTAGTAGTTATTTTCCTATCTGCTTCCTGACTCACAAAAAGATTGGAGTGTAGTCTGTGGACCAAAAGAATGAATATTATTTTCTTTTGTACCTTCTCACCTCCTTCTCTGGAAGTAACACAATCTCATTTTAACCTTGTTTTCTACAAGGACTGAGTCAGCATGGTTCCCCCAAATCCCTTAACTGCAAAGTAGGTTTATAATTAGTAGTCCATTTCTTAATTCTTGAACCACAAGTACTTCTGTGCTAGCACTCCATAAACCATGGATCTGTCTGCAAACTGTAAGGAGTCCTTAGATATGCCTATTTATAAATTCTGCTGTTCTGGCTAATTGGTTCATGCCTTTCTTAGGGATATGGCTTCTGTTAGCACTCATGGGAGGAAGTCATGTGTCCATATCACCAAAGCCCAGGTAATGATGGAACAGACAGCTGCCTTGATTTCCAGTGCAGCTGCTTTGTATACTCATTTCAGGTGGTCCCCAGGTTAAGAATGCCTGGTTTACAGACAACCCATAATTAAGAATGGAGCGTACTGTAGCAAAATTCTAGTTAAATATACAATGATTCGAGTTAAATACACAATGATTTGAGTTAATTACACAATACTATATACAGTATTATACAATAATACTGTTCTGGCTTACATACAAATTCGACTTAAGGACAGACCTTGAGAATGGAACTTGTTCTTAAACTGGGGACTACCTGTACTATGTCTGTTCTACAATCTGTTGGATTTGTGAGCGCTCCTCCCTGCTTTTTTTTCCCCATCGATTCAATCATGTCCAATTTTCAGAGTCTGCCTAGACAACTCCCTGCAGTTTTCTTGGCAAGGTTTTTCAGAAGTAGTTTGCCATTGCCTCTTTCCTAGGGCTGAGAAAAAGTGTCTGTCCCAAGGTCACCCAGCCGGCTTTGTGCCTAAGGCAGAACTAGAACTCAGTCTCCTGGTTTCTCCGATCCCTTAACCACTATACCAAACTAGCTCAAACTGAGAGACCTTGGGAATGGAACTCATTCTTAAACTGGGAACTACCAGTATTGCATTTGTTCTACAGTCTCTTGGATCTGTGAGCACTTCTCCCTGCTACTGGTTCATTAATAATACTAGGTGTTAATTAGTTACTCCATGATATCCTTGAGAGGGAAGTACAACTTCCTTCCCAATGTGGAGGATACATTAGGTTTGGCTGTTCATCAAAAATGGCATTCTAAAATCTGTAGGTCCTGTAGATCCTGTAAAATAGCAGGATCTTGTGATCCCTTACAGTCAGTGATAGCACAGCTGTCCAGTCCTACCTTCAGACTGAGCATCTTAGCTGATCTCTTAGCTGCCTGGAAATAAGTCAGTATTAAACAGCCTCTAATATGAAAGTGTGGATTACATAAAATCATCATCTGAAAGTTCATCTGAATCTGAATCCCATGAAGAATAGGCCTCAGATGTCTCACATACTTTCTTGCAGGAGATTATAATTCCTAATTATCTGTATTTTTTTAATGCAATAAACTTAGTAAAAAAAAAAAAAAACTTTAATATGCTGAATGCTGAAAAGCCCAAAGGTAAGGTGCTTTTACATTTCAGTCTGTCTTTGTTTCTGACATACAGTGAATTCAGAAAGTATTCAGACCCGCTTCACTCAGTACTTTGTTGAAGCACCTTTGGCAGCAGTTACAGCCTCAAGTCTTTTTTGTATGACGCGACAAGCTTTGCACACCTGGATTGGGGGATTTTCTGCCATTCTTCTTTGCAAATCCTCTTAAGCTAAATCAGGTTGGATGGGGACTGTCAGTGGATAGCCATTTTCAGGTCTC